CAAATGTAACTTTTGATATGAGATTAGTGTGACTATAAGGAAGCCAGATGCTATTTATCCAGACAATAGAAAAATGAGTCCAAAGGCATTTCAGTCTTTGAGGCTGCCACTCCCATCATGATCCCAGAGTGCCAGGGCCTTCAAGTCACAAAGGTTTCAAGGAAGGGGCCCAGGGCACCCTTGGCACCTTAATGCTCACTGCCTAGGGCCTCCTCAAATCTTTGCTCCCTGCATTCTGACACAGTGCTTTTTAGCTTCCCCGGCTGGGGCTCAAGTGGGCTCAGATGTGACTTGGGCCACCCTTCTGAAAGGTACAAGTGATAAACCTTGACGACATTCCTGAAGTGACAACTCTGCATTTATGTAGAGTGTATGAGCGATGGAGGTGTGGCTATCTCCACCTAGATTTCAAAAGATGTCTTGGAGAGCCTCAGAGCCCAGGCAGAGAACTGCCACAAAGGTGAGATAGGTGCAGAGGGTCCCTACAAGGGCAATGACCAGTAGAGCTGTGGGGTCAGGGTTGCCCTGAGATTCCAAACTGGTAGTGCCACCAGTGTGCAATGCCAGCCTAGGAGAGCCACAGGCACTGGACTCGAACTTGTGAGAGCTACAGCATGGTCTGTGCCCAGCAAAGCCATGGGGGTAGGGCTGGTGGGACCCTTGGATATCCAACCCTTGCCCCAGTGTGTATGGAAGGATGAACATGGACTCAAAGAAGACCATTCTCAAGCCTCAAGATTTAACAGTTTGTGTTGTTGGGTTTTGGACTTCCATGTGGCCTGTGACCCCTTTTTCTTGCCCATTTCTCCCTTGCAGAATGGGGATGTATATCCTATGCCAGCACCACTGTCGTATTTTGCAAGCACATTGCTTGTTTTATTTCACAGGCTCAGATCTGGAGGAGTTTGCCTTAGGATAAATTGTACCTTCAGTCTCAGCTGTATTTGATATAGATCATATTTAAGTGAGACTTTGGACTTAGATTTTAAAGTTAATGCTGGAACACGATAAGAATTTGGGCAACAAGTTATCGATTTTGGGAATTCTATATATGAGGACATTAATTTTGAGAGGTCAGGGGAAGAACGACTGTATCCTCCCCAAAATTCACATTGAAACTTAATCCTCAATGCAACAGTATTAAGAGGTGGGGCCTTTAGGAGATGATGAGGCTGTGAGGGCTCTGACCTCATAGGTGGGATTAGTAGCTTATGAAGGGGCTGGAGGGAATCAGCTGGGTCCTTTTCCCCATCCAGTTCTTCAGCCATGTGTAGACACAGTGTTCCTCTTCTCCAGAGGATGCAGAAACAAGGCACCATCTTGGAAGCAGAGACTGTGCCCTCACCAGTCATTGAAGCTGCTGGTGCCTTGATCTTGAACTTTCTAGCCTCCAGAACCATTAGAAATAAATTTCTATTATTTATAAATTACTGAGTTTAAGGCTTTTTGTTTTTAGCAGCCTGAAATGGACTAAGACAGTATCTATTGCTATTCTTTTGCAATTACTATTACTATGCTTGATATTTTAGCAAGTGTATTTGAATTAAATTCCAAAGTTGTTCACTATTTCCACCCTTTTCTGGAGGTCTTACTCTTATCCCCTAATTTTCCCACTTTCTTTCTAGTTTCTGCTCAGTCCTTCAAATCTCATCTTAAATGCTAGTTTTTCATTGATGCCTCTCCCATTCCCCAGACTAAACCAGCCACCCGTACATTTGTCCTTCATAGCATTTACCAGGGTTTAGAATTACATACTTGTGGATTCCATAACTCAGTAAGCTGTAACTCGATAAGCTGGAACTTCTGAAAGAGGCAGGGATTGCTTGAGTGTGTCTTTTCATCCTATTTTCAATGTGCAGCCACACGTCTGACATATGGTGTGCAGAAAGCTTGGTTTAAGTGGGAAAGTTCGGGTGGAAGAGAGGGAGAAGGGGTGCTGGCTGCACAGGGCGCCATGTTGAGGGATGAAGCCTCAGGGTTACCAGACCTGGAGGAACTGATTCGCCTCCATCAGTAAGAAGTTGCAGTCTCTTGCTAAGAACAACAGAAACGGCAATGGCTGAAGCAAAACAAGATTGTTTCTCTCTCATGTCATGAAGTCTGGGGTTAGATAATTCAGGGCTGAGGCAGGGGCTCCACAGAGTCACCAGAGATTTAGACTACTTTTTACACCACTATCCTTGGTTCATGTTTTATATTTTCAAGGTCAGCTTAGCGTCTACACTGGTGCCTGGCATTTTTCTGTTTGTTTTTTGAGGTGGAGTCTCAGTGTGTCACCCAGACTGGAATGCAGTGGCATGATCTCGGCTCATTGCAACCTTCTCCTCCTTGGTTCAAGAGATTCTCCTGCCTCAGCCTCCCAAGTAGCTGGGACTACAGGTGTGTACCACCATGCCTGGATAATTTTTGTATTTTTAGTAGAGATGGGGTTTCACCATCTCTATGAAATGCCAGGCTGGTCTCGAACTCCTGACCTCAGGTGATATTCCCACCTCGATCTCCTAAAGTTCTGGGATTACAGGCATGAGCCATCATGCCCAGACAGTGCCTGGCATTTCGACCATCACAATCAACTTCCAGGTGGGAATCCAAAAGTAGGAGAGAAGGGCAAGAAAGACCATGCCCATTTAGTTGTCTATCCCTTTTTACAAAGCCTATCTTAGAATCCCACTCAATTTACATCTTATTGGTCATGGCTGAGTTCTATGGCTTCACCTAGCTGCAAGGGAGGTTTTTTTTTTTTTTTTTTTTTTTTTTTTTTTTTTTTTTTTTTTGGTAGTCAAGTAGTTTCCAATTCAAATAAAATCAGGTCTGTGTTAAGGATGATGACGATGATGTGTGTGTGAGGGGTGGGTTTGATGTCGCTGCTTGGGGAATGATCACTGGAGCTGGAGTCAGGGAGAAAGTAAGAAGAGGTGTTGGGATTTTGAGTGAAAGACACTGAGACTGTGAATTATGGCAATGAGAATGGAATGAAAATGAGGGCCTACTGGGTCCTTGATGGCTCTTCTTTCTGTGGATTTCCTTCAGGAGATACTTTGCTTCTGGGTTTAATTTCACTTACTAGATCATCTTTTCACTAACTCAAGGTCATTTTGACTTAATTTCTCTGGTAAATAATGAAATAAACTAAAGAAGAGTAATCTGTGCTGCTAAATCTAAGCAGGATATTATTTTCGAAAACATATTTTCAAAGGTACTTATTTTTCCCAAAGCTCTATTTTCAAAGGCAGAGTAAAGAGGACATTGATTAATAAGTATAAAACATATCTTTTTTAAAAAAGTATAGCCATTCTTTGCTTACAGGCATTCAAGATATATACAAGGCTCAGTGTCAGAAAACAACATTCTGGAAGGCATCCAGAGGCTTTATCTCCATGCCACAAGCTATCTGTATTTTCTTCAGATATTCTAAAAATCTTTTAGACTTAGCATTTTTTCTTCTCTCCACACCATACTTATAAAGGATGACTTGGGCTTTTTCAACACGCCAATTTTGTTTAAGCAAATTGGGTTGCTAGAAAATATATCCAGAAATTTAATCAAGAGGACAAAGTAAACCACGTTCAGATTTCTAGAACCCTTTGGTTTTCTGCACACATCGCTGAAATAAAACACATTGTCTTATTGAAAGGTCCTTACTGAAAGAAGAATCAGTAAACTCTTGTAAGAAAACAATAACCAGGGAAAATGACACGTGCCCTCCCCCACCTGCCCCTGCACGTGAGTGAGTGCGTCTTGTTAAATGTGTGGTCTGCCTGTTGTATTCTTGAGTCATTGCTTTAACCAGGCTGCTTCCTTGAATGTGGCTGTGACGTGGGAGAATGTGGTTCTCCCTTGAGAAATGGGTTCCAGAGAGCTCAAAGATGAGCAGAGTTCGCCTGGGTCAGGTGAGGTCAGGGTCATGCTGTGCCAACCTTTGGGAACACATAGCAGTGGTAAAGTGCAACCCTCTGAGTAGACATGGGCAGTGTGAGGCAGGCCCTAGGTGGACCTGGGTCGAAACTCAGACTGCAGAGCAAGGCACTGTGATGGGGTCTCATGCTGTGCCTGGAGGAGCAGACTGACCTGGCCGTTCAGTTTAAGGACCAAGAAACTGCACTTGCTATGCACATTTGTGCTCATTCTCATCTGTGCCTCAAGCATTTTCTATCTGTCTGTTTCTTGATGGCTCCTTTTTTTTTTTTTTTTTGAGATGGATTCTCACTCTGTCACTAGGCTGGAGTGCAGTGGCATGATCTCGGCTCACTGCAACCTCCACCTCCCAGGTTCAAACAATTCTTCTGCCTCAGCTTCTGTAGTAGCTGGAATTACAGGTTCCTGCCACTACGCCTGGCTAATTTTTGTATTTTTAGTAAAGACAGGGTTTCACCAAGTTGGCCAGAATGGTCTTGATCTCTTGACCTCGTGATCTGCCTGCCCTGGTCTCCCAAAGTGCTGGGATTATAGCTATGAGCCACTGTGACCTGCTGGCTCTTTTTAAATAAAACTGGTCTCCTTAACTTTGCCAATAGAGTGCACTGCTACACTAAAGAGGAGTGCATGTTTCTTGGGGAACGAGAACCCTAAAGATGTTTTGGTGAAACCCTACTGTAGCAGCTGGGCTGATAATTTCTTTAAAATCTCCCCACTTGTAGATTCTTAATCTATCAAAAGAATCTGACAAAAGAAACCTGTTTGGGAGGAAACACAGCATCACCTGTACCCATAATCATGTTTTCCCAATACTTTGAGGTAGGTGAGCAATAAAGCAGTACGAGGCAAGCTTAGTGAGACATCAAGCTTCACATCTTTGTAGCAATGTTTAGCATTAGGAAAACGACTGATGGGACTGATCAGATGATCTATTCATTTCTTCAGTTCTTAAATGCCATGGATCTAAAATAATGAAAACAGAGTATAAAGAGAACACTCTAGGAGGATGATTGTAATGTGTCTCCTGGCTCTTTGGTAGGAAAATCCAGTTAAGATGTAAATGTCAAGAGACCACAATTTTGGGATTGAGGTTTTTCTAAAATTTTAATACAATCTTATCACATCTTAAAGACCACAGATACCGAGCTTTTCCTTTGAAGGTCACTCATGGCCCACAGTCAAGTCCTGACTTCTTCCAGGTGGTGTTCTTTCCAGCCCCCCTCCCTGTTCCTCAGTCTGAGATGGCAGCTTAGGGATGTGGCTGAAATTCAGGCACTAGGGAGGGAGTAAAGACGAGACAAAATTGGTCAGTTAGTTCAGAAACGGAAATGATTTTTCATAGTTCCAAACGGAAATTGAGGTGAATCAGGAAATGGATGGCGTTTTTCAAGTCACATGAATCAGCGCCCCAGAATTCATCATTTTCACCAAGTGTTCTGTTGGTTTCATCATTCTTTCACATTGGGTGCATGGCTCAGGTAAAACAGTTTAGGGAGAGCTAGATTTTATTTTGAAAAGAAGAGAATTAAACATTTTTTTGTTTCATAATGTGATGAGATGCAGTTTCATGCAGGTAACTCTAGCAAGCAAGAACTTTACAAAGAAATAAAAAGAAATTTTGCTTAGAAAAAGGAAATACTTGTGGATACTTCAAAATGACTTTATTTATGGAGAACCTGCTTATATGCTGGGTGCTTGATGAGTATTTTACACAGATTATCTTCTTTCTCCTTTCAAGAAGACAACTGACTTCACCTGCCAGGTTGATGTGTTTAAGTTCCAGGTGAAGAGGCTATAGCTCAGAAAAGTTAAAGAACTTTCCGCAGGTTAAAACTCAAAATTATACCCTCAATTTAGATCTATTTCATTTTAAAATAAGGATGCACTCTAAATTATAATTTAGTTTATTTTCCTGCTCATTAGCAATTATTTTGTAATTCATCATCACTAAAATATACATACTCTAACGATGTATTGTTGCAGCCTGTAAACAGCAAAACTGAATTCAACTGCCCCCCACCAACATACACACAAAATTACGTAATGTATCCAGTTAAATGTTATGCCATCAGACCTACTGGGTTAAGGTTAGAAAGCTGTCTTCTTCCCCCTGCTTAGCTCTATATACCAAGAATTTTTTGCCTTTTTATTTTTTATTTTATTTTTTAGTATGAACTGCAATGTTCAGAGGTAAGAATAGGGTTGGCTGAATACATTCTACATTGAGTTCTAATTTCTCTCCCTCATTCTGGCCACACAGGCTCCACAGGTCCATACAAAGGCTGCAGAATCCAAGCAGAAGGCAGCTTCCTCCCTACATCCTCCCCTCTAGAAGCAGCCCGGCAAGACCTTGGCCTGCCTCTTCCTCGCAGGGAGGCTCCCAGGCCCCTATGCCACGTAGGCAAGAGAGTCGGAATGTCTGGAATGGAACTAGTGCCTTAAGTGCCAAGCAACGGAAGAGAGAACGGTTAAGGTTCTGGTTCAGGTCCCAGGAGCCTGCAGCTGCCACCCAGCAGGCCGGGAGCCCCCGCCACAACACAGGGAGGAACGCTTGCCAAGGAGGCCTGCTCAGCTACTGACACTTGCTCCCAGAGGTCCTAAAGGAAATCCCCGGAAGGCCTGAGTACCCAGGGCAGCCAGGTCACCTGTGCCAGAGACTGGGCATTTAGAGCTGGGTTGGGCTTCCATAGAAACCATAGGAATTGCTTTCACTTAATTCTTTCATTAAAAAAAAAAAAATAAGTTCTAGAAAATAAAGACACATGATGGCAATTTTTATTTCCATCGCCCTGTTAGGTCTGCATGGCTACTGTGAGAACTGTGACACCCTGCAGCCACCAATAGCTTCTTTGTTTTATGGATGAGCTCAGTGGAAGCCTTATGGACGCAGCGGACCGTTCCCAGTACCAGCGAGGCCCATCCACAACCCACCACTGGCTGGAAGGGCGCTGGTGTGAACGTGGGTCCTTGCGGGGTCCCTACCTCACTGCACTTAGGATGGGGCATTCATGCGTATCCTTGTGGAAGGGACCTTGAAGCCTCCCTATGAGGCGCAGATGGAGAAAAACGGGCCCAGAGATACTGTCTCGCAGCCTCATCCAGTGGGCAAGGGCCGCTCAAGGCCAGTCAGGACTCTGAACCCAAGTTTTATGCCTTATACTCCTATAACCTTACCATTTGCTCTTTTCGCGAGGCTGACCCTCTTCCTCCCCGCTCAACTACCTTCTGGAGAAGCTGAGGAAGTGCACCAAAGTATCCAATCATACAAGCCTTCAAAGGTGCTTTACTTGCTTCCCGATTACAAACTTTTCACCCGAGCACTCAGTAAGGCCCAAAGATCCTGCAAAAGTGCAACAAGGAATATTTGTCCCAGAATTGGACGAATGACTGACCATCTGGGACTTCTCTCTTAACGCTCCGCGTGGCTACCTGGTGACCCCTTCACCTGCCTCCCTGGTTCAGTCAGATTTGTTCATTTCCTGTACTTAATCCCGCTGAAATCGACCCCAACTAGCCGGAGGTTCAGCCCCAAACCGCTCCTCCGAGAACCCGCAGCGACTCCCTCCTCTTCTGTAAGGAGTGCCCCTCTCAGAACGGATGAGGGTGTCACACAGAATGAACAAAATCACAAAGTTCGAGTTCCGAAGGATAAGATGGCCCCTGTCCCCCACCTGCGAGGCCAGATTCGGGCGAGGGGAGCGCACTTACCTGGAGCAGAGGCCAGCAGATCTGGCGCGCCACGTCTCAAGTCTCGGCCGGCGCCCCCCTCCTGGGTGCAGCCACGTCTGAGTCGGAACCCAGGGCGGGAGGCGCAGCAGGGCCCTGTGAGACGGGGCAGGGAGCCCCCAAAAGTCACCGCACGGCCGCACTCGCACTGGGGAGGCGGGAATGGAACTCCTGAGGTGCAGCGGGGCATCCGGGAGCAAGGGGGGGGGTCCTGTCCCGGGAAGGGGCGGGACCCGGGGAGGGGCTCGGGGAGGTCAGGCGCGGGTGGGGCGCTCGAGTTTCACGCGGGCAGGGAGGAGACAGAGGAGGAGGAGGCGCAGCGGCGGGGGCGGGGCGGGGGCGGGCCCAGGCGGCCCCGAGCTCCCCGCCCCGCGCTCTCAGCGCCCGCTCGCCCCGCGCGGATCTACTCGCCGGGAAGGCGGCGCTGGTGGCGGCTGTTCTCGCTGCGGCCGCTCCCGCGCGCTGCTTTCCCGCCGCGGGTGGGCTCCGCAGCCCCAGGCCGGCCGCGGCCCTCCACCTTCCCTTTGCCGGGGCGGCCCGGACATTGTGGCTTACCCTGGGGCGCTCCCCTCTCCCACCCGCGACTGCCCCGCGGAGCTGGCGCAGACACCCAACTTTGCCACCTCGCCGGTCGTCTCTGCTGTGCGCGAACCTGCCCACCCACTGGTTGGCCGCGCGCTCGGGGACTCTTTTCCTGGCCCTCAAGCCCGTGCCCCCATTCTAGAGTGCAGAGAGTGGGGGGCGGCTCTGAGGAAGTGGCAGGGGTGGCTGCAGCTGCTGCCTCTACTTCCCTAGCCAGGTGCTGAAGAGGATCCTCGGAGCCGCTCTGGCCCCAGGCGCTGGATGACTGGCACGAGGAGCGCGCCCCGCACCTGGTGAGCGACCCCGCCCGATCCCGTGGCCTTTGGCGGAGCCTTTGACCGCGCCGCGCCGCGCCGCTGGCCGGGACCTGGGGACCGCACGGTCGGCTGGTGGGTGGTGTCGATGTCGGGTGGAATCCATCAGCAGGCACCTGGGCGGGGGTTGCGTGCATAGGATTAGGACCGCCGTCAGTCCCGGGGGCGTCCACAGTTGAGGCAGTGCACAGGTTGGAAGTTTATGTACCCGCCTGCGCCGAGGTCTGATCATGCAGAGGTAAGGAGCCGGAGTATCTCGGTCGGCGAGGCGGGACCCCTGTCCAACACCCCAAAAGGTGCGCCGTGGTCTGTGCGCGTACCCGGCGCGCCTCCAGGCTCGCACCGCCGGGGGTCGGGGACCAGGGACTCGGAAATCGGGACTTGGCAGTCCGAGGAGCCGCCACCTCGCAGCCCCGCCGGCTTGGGCAGGTTTTCTTGCTTTCCTTACAGGGGAACCTGGAGGCAGGAGGACTTGGGCTTAACTCTGTCAAGCGCCTTGGTTAATGAAAGACACCAAGGTGGGGATGCAGAGGCCTGGGGAACCGCTAGCCAGGTGGGCTGCAGCCAGGCGAGCCCCTTCCCCCGGCATCCCTGCGCTGCTCCGCGGATTTTGCATACCCTGGCTCAAGGTTTCGGGACCGGAGGCAGATCGGGCCCCAGAGGGAACTGTTTCTCCCAAGATGCGCGTGGGAACAGTCGTGGAGGAGCGATTCCGGGCTCGCTCCCCGCGGCCCTGGGTGCCTGGCTTGGCGCGGTCACACGCCGGTTCCCCGGGCTTTGGCGGGAAGCGCGTTCACCGCCTCGCGGGTTCCTTGCTTTGTACCTGGATGCGGCGGCTGGAGTTGGGATTTAACTTTCCTGTGCCTGCGGCGTCCTCGTGGTCCCCGGCAGGGGGCGCTGCGAGCGAGCGCTCGGAGGGTGAGCAGCCACAGGCGGCTGCTGGGTGCTAGGCGAGAGGGTGGGGGTCCCAGGCAGCAAACAGCAGAGCCAGGCAGATCTCGCAGTACGTTCATTGTGGGGGCTGGGGGTGGGGGGAGCTCATCTGGTGGCGATGGAGAGCTGTCAGCCTTGCTAGAAGAGGGGACAGGAAAGGTGGCGGCCAGATGTAAGTGCTCTAACTGGAAAGGTGTCTTCCAGAGAAAAAGATCCCTGTAAACTCTTCCTGCCTGGCCATCTGTCTTGTTCCCTGTGACTTACCCAGAAAGTAATCGAAATTGAGGGAAGATAACGTGAGTTTTGTTTAATAGTGTTCTGCTTTTTAGGGGTGCTTCAGTTAACACTCCAGGAGTCACAAATGATTGTTCTTGTTTATTGTGAAGAAAGACGATTTTATCTCTCGCTTACCCAGAAGAGCTCTGTCATAATGGCAGAGTTTGGAACCAGCAGCTATGTTATTAATCATAGCCTTTTCATAAGGAAACAGAAACACAAAACCAGACTTTAGTAAGAAAGGTTTTTCAATACCTAATTAGGATTGTTGAATGAGTCGCTAATTAATGCCAGTTTCATTATTTTAGAGAATGTAAATCTTATGACCACTTTGCAATTTTAGTTAAAGCAGATAATACCATTAAGTTATGTATAACTGAAATAAGTTTCTTGTGTGTGCATGTATGTACACCAAAAGAAACATGGATTTTTTTTTTCCCTCCAAAAGATTTCTTTTCCTAGTTTTGTTTTTCCTTAGAAAGCAGCCCTGAGTGTAATTTTTTTGGTTCACTTGAAACACAGATTTTTTTTTTCCTTGAGTTTCTTTCTTGTAAAAACTTCGGAGATAGAAGCTTGCTCATTCACGTTGCTCCATGCAGTCACACTAAGAATTTGGATATTCTGAACTGTGGGGTTGAGAAACTGACACCTATTTTTATGTGCTTTTAGCCAATATATACTTTTATTGACAGGGAGAAGATAGAGGATGCTAATCATTTTATGTCTTCTGTGAATTGCAGTAACTTATTTGGTTGTTTTAATGTCAAACAGCTGCAAGATCCCTGCTGAGAGCAAAGGCTTTGGTCTCCTGGGTGGTAAAGCTTGTCTCTGTCCAAAATAAATTTTTGAGATGTTCAGAATTTGGTAAAAATAAACCTGTGTTTTTCACTGCTGTTTCCCTATAAAATGATTTCATCACATGTTTGGGGAGAATGGAACATAGAAACTTATAGCACAGAGGCTGTTAAAACTTATTGAACATGAGACCAAAATAAATACACATTTATACAAACTTCTGCATAAATTTTAGAGAGTCATGGGACTTCCGAAGCCCTGTCCATGGATTTGCAGTAAAAAATTTAGCTCCAGAGTCATGTTAGCCTCCTGGTGAAGGACATATGTTAAAGCCAACAAGACTTTCGCTGTGCTGTGTGCTAGTGGCCCAAAATAAGAGATGCCAGCTCTTTGTGGTCAATGTCAAATGCTCCTGATGTTAGAGAGAGCTGCCTATCTGAATCTTGACAGTTTGATTTAACTTGGTGATTAGTATAACTGTTTCAAATGATTTTTTTTTTGTTCATAAAATCATTGAAATTGAGTATTTGCTTTTGATACAGGAAGATGTATGGGAGGAGCAGAAAACCTTCACTAAATGTCCAGCCAAAGGTATAAAGGCATTCCATGATGCAGACATGATCATGAACCCTATAGTTAACTAATGTCAGAAACTTATTCCAAGAAAAAGGTTTGCGTTACAAAGCAGATGGTGTGCAAGATAGAACAAGTTAGTTTATAATATATCCCAGTCAAGGAATCCATTTTTGTAGTAGTATATGTACCATTATTTGAGTAAAGCAGCCCTACATCCTGCAATAAACCCTCCATAATTCTTTATTCTAAAATTATACCAATTTTGTATTTAAAAATGTTTCTGCAATTGTTGCTATAGTTACCCAGACAAATTGCTTTGGGTAAAATTATACCAAGGTGACAAGTTTTTATGTGTTAAATAATGTTTAAAATGTAAATTACGGTGCCTAACACACTGAGTTATACCTAAGTGCAAAGTGTCTAAAGTGAGAACTTGTCCATTTCTGCTCACCTGCATCTATTTGCAAATTTGTATCAAGAAAGTTAATTGTTTTCTTGAATCCTAAAATGAGCATCTCTAAGTAGTTTTAGTTGTCTTGAGTACAGTTGACAACACAGACAATTTCACATATGTCTCAGCAACATTTTTAAATTGAGTTGCAGAAGTTTCATTGAAAATGAGATTTTTATCACTCTACTGCCTTGCAGAAATGATCTGCTGTAGATAGGGGGCAATCTTCTGTTTCTAATTCCTGTACAGATTAGGAGCAATCTGGGGATAAATTCAGCAGGTGAGATGTGGCTCCTGGGAAGCACTTTGGAGAAACAGATGTGGGTATGCTTGGTAAATATATAGCGTACTTGTTCGATAAATTTTTTAGGAATTGGTTATCCGAATATACAAAATCAATTTCTGATAGGGAGAAAAGAGGAAAAAGCAAAACTGAGTTAGAATATACCTAGATAAACTTCTCAATATCAATGAGCCTACTCAAAACTTGCTTTGATTCAGAACTGAAGCCAAATAGAGGAAAACAAATGAAAACTTGATCCAAGAAAAGGCATTGAATAATAGGAATTTATTTCAACATACTTGGATTGGCACAATCTTTGCCATCTAAAAGATTGTATGGCTAATAGAAACCTGATTGTCTGTTTCACAGAGTATTTTGAAGCCAGGCACTTCAAAGACAAGTTATATTTCACCTTGTGCGTGACATTTACAATAGGAGTAACACAACAGTGGGCTCAAGAAGACAAAATTTTCCCAAAGGAATTGCTCTTATCGTTTTCTTTCTTCTCCTTCTTGTTCTGGCCAAGATTAATGGTGGTTTGACGAGAGTAAAGGCAAACACACTTTATTTCCTTTTCCTGCGTTTTAAAGTGTATTAACATAGTATGGTTGCATTTCAAAGAAGTAAAATCATTCTGTTTCTGAACTCTTTTTTTTTCCTGATTGGTTTCCTAGAATTGGTTGCCTGATTAACACTTGGGGGGAAAAAACTATTTTAAATGAGAATAATTTTTTTTTAGAGGCTGAATTTCTTTTATTATCGAAAGGTCATGAACCCACTAATCTTTTATCTTCCCATCTTTCCCTCATTATTTGTCACTGTATTTCTGTAGAATTGGCTAACCTAGGGTTCATGTAGAATAGTGAGGAAGTACACACTGGAAAAATGTTATTTTATGTTGCATTTTTATGTACAATTGAGAGTAAATCACACTACTGTAATAGGTAATTCAATTACAGATATGTATGATAAATAACCAGTAGAGTGATTCTATCAGAAGCCAACTCTATTGGAGAAATAATACTGTATTTGCTGAGATGTGAAATTGAATAAGTTATAGGCGAGTGACAATCAGGATTGCACAAGGACAAATTGTTCACAGAAAATAGAGCCTCTTTCAATCAGTTCAAATCCAGTGTTTGGCAACGATGTATGATGTACCCATGGAAGGAAAAACAGAATCAAGGAAAGCAACTAAGAAAAAATTTGCTAAGCAGCTTCCTGTGATCTGTCTGCAAAATCATAAAAACGAAACTTCTCTTCTTCTGAATCACAGGAGAGACAGCATTCCTCACAAACTGACTTCAAATAAAATTCCACACAAAGAGCTTTTCTTTCTGTCAAAACAAACTGGACATGTGACACATCTTGGAGAAGGCTGCCAAAGCTGTTCAGAGCCAGGTACCACGGCATCTGACTCCTACCAGTGCCCCCAAACCTGCTGGGGGAAAAGAGGGCATCAGAGGCCAGCGACATTTGTGGCTGGGCATCATGTAAGCAAATGGATTTTAGAGTCACAACTGGCTTCTGTGACTCCTTTTACAGGACTGAGATTTAGGTTTGTTGTAAAACTACTTCTTTTCTTTTCTTTTGAGACAGAGTCTCGCTCTATCACCCAGGCTGGAGTGCAGTGGTGCGATCTTGGCTCACTGCAACCTCTGCCTC